GCCCATAAATCAGCATGACCCCCCCTAACACCAAGAGTCTGGAATGAAGGACTTTGTGCCTGATCAACAGAATGGCATTGCAACTACCCCCAATTGACATTGAATGGGGTCCTGCTTGAGCTTCTGATCTCCTGGGAAACTTGGGTCTTTGTTACACCTGGAGACCTTATTCCCTCCCTCCCCCCGGAAATTGCAGGTTTCAGGAAAATCTCCATACCCCTGCCCATTGTAAACTCACCAGAACTGTACCCAGATCACACCGCCTTAAATACCCCAGTCTGTAAGAGAACAGACAGGCTCTTGGTCTCCTTTGGTGACGTGAGAGTCCCCCCTCCCAGGTTTACTCTCAATAAACCTGCCTGCTGTTGAAGCCAAGACTCTCTTCCGTCTCTTTCTTTTCCTTACAGTAGCACTAGATAAGAAACTCAACATTTTTTCATTTAAAACTGAGAATAATATAATCTCAGGTGATTGGGGGACCCATTTGCTAGCACATAAAAATAATTTTAAGATATGGGCATTTTTCTAGGGGCTCAGGGCCATTGCTCAGGGGCCTCTGTGGTCAGTCGGCATTAACATAGTCCTCAGAGACAGCATTCTACGACCCACTTTGGTCTGTAGTGTCTGGGATCTTCAGAGCTCATGAGCAGCCATCCAGGGTGTAACTGCCCATGTGCAAGAGAAAGAAGAGTGATGGGAGTTGATGATGCTGAGAACCAGTTACTCCATTGGACTGATGGATCATGTGAACGTCACTCTCCACGACTCTTCATTAGAAGGCCCTGGACACAGTGGGAGAAAATGAGGAACAAAACTAAAAAACAAAAAACAAAACAAAACAAAAAAAGACTGGGTTTACCAATCATAAAGAGATTGGAGAAACCTGAGACTGGTCTTCAACCACCTTTCCGGTCTGGAAAAGAACTCACCCTTGTAATCCAGTTTTCAGTCACTCAGTAGATAGGTATATAAAGGTGATACAACACTAGATATGTATGCTCACTGTGAAATGTCAGTCATTCAAAATCAAAAGGGAAGCATTTACCTTAGGGCAAAGTTGAGAAGGGATGGGAAGGAGGGTGGAATAGAGATACAAGCTCCCACAGGGAGGAAGCAGGATCACTGTTACTGCTTGGCGGGAATTGCAGTCATTTGAGTCGAAACAAAGTGTACAATTTTGTTGCATGTAAAACTGATGATCTTGTCTGTAAACCTTCACTCAGTTCACAATAAAAAGTTAAAAAAACACAACACATCGAGGAGGCCAACAACAACAAAAGCTATGGGCATTTTAATCTTAACTCATAACTTTTTAAAAGAACTCATGCTCTGCAAATATTTATACTAAAAGAACAACCAAACAAAACCTGGTTTATGGGAAAAATAGGGTTAGGGCCAAACTATGCAACTTTATAGCTAGAGCAAGAATAGAAACGTAACAATCCTAATAAAATATCGACACAATTGAGACATGCTGAATGACCAATAAATAAACATTACAGTAAATATAGGATCTCACCCTCTTTGTTCCACCCCCCCCCAAAGTAATGTTTTGATAGAAGTGTATGTGAGAAAGGATTGAAAATGCTGTACAGATGCAAACACAATAAAAGAGCAGTGCAATGCACACTTCCAAGATAACAACAACAAAACTAACCCCTAGCCATTGAATCGATTGTGACATGGTGTGGTGCTGTAGGAAAAGCACTAGACTGCAAGGTCGGTTTGAACTGCAAGGTCGGCGGTCCAAACTCACCAGCTGCTCCTCAGAAACCCTATACAGGGTCCCTGTGAGTTGGGACTGCCTCGACAGCACTTCACAACATCACCAACAACAGAGCCACCGAGTTGATTTGACTCATAGTGAGCCTGTGCTGTATATAGGAGTGTAACTGCTCCGAAGGGTTGCTGAGGCGATCAGTCTTTATGGCTGCTTCAGCTTTCTTCTTGTGAGCAGCCAGTGGCTTCAAACCGCAAACCTTTGGTAGGCACTTAACACACAGCACCATAAAAGTTCATCTTACTAAATAGTGGTGGTGGTTATGTGCCGTGGAGTCGGTTCCGACTCATAACGACCCTGTACAGGGTTTCCGAGGCTGTAAATCTTTACGAGAGCAGAGTGCCTCATCTTTCTCCGGTGGAACAGCTGGTAGTTTCGAACTGCTGACCTTGCGGTTCGCAGCCCGATTCGTAACCACTACAGGTGGGCGTGGCCAAATCAAGCTATGAAGTAAATGGTATATGTGGTATATGTGCTTAACCCGCTCATCATTGTCCTTTGTGTGGAAAAGGGTCATAATAGTGTGGAACCTCAAAGGTATCCTAGTGTGGAACCAGAAAATCTTGTTTTCTCTGGGGCGCCCTGGGGCCACCGCCCTCCTCCTGGACGCAGCCCCAGATTCACCAAAAGCAATAAGACTTGGTCTGGGAGCAGAAGACGAAGTAGGTGGTAATAGGACCATAGTCCAGCCAGCGTCAGCTCAGGGAGCCACCTTCATGGGAGGAGAGGCTTGGAGTCCAGAAGGGCAGCGGGCTGTAGGGGTCAAAGTCTCCTGGATGGCTGCGTGGAGGTGTGTGCGGTCACTGCTGCTGCTCCTGGTGGTGGGCCCCGCCAGCGCGCTGTGGGGCGGGGAGGGCAGTAACCCACACTTACAGAGCATCTTCCTGGGCCGTTGCCATGACTACCTCAAACTGCTTAGCCCAGAGGAGCAGCGGTGAGCCAGTGGGGTGGGAGGAGGGAAGCAAGGGAAAGGGCGAGGAAAGTGAGGATTCTGTCTGAATGGGGTGTGTTTGGGGACCTGGAGGATGTGGGATTTAGAACTGAAGTGGGTTTGTGTGAGAGGTTGAACTTTCGAAGTAAGAAGTATGTGATGGAGGCGGTAGGGTGTCTAGAGGTGAGGGGTGAATGTGCGTGGATCTACATCCAGAAGTGAGAAAGACTCTCTCTCTCTCTCTCTCTCTCTCTGTCTCTCTCTCTGTGTGTGTGTGTGTGTGTGTGAAAGAGAGACATGGGGTCGTTGGAGTGTCTTAAGACTATATGGGAGGAGGGTTGGGGAAGGTGAAGGCTTTGTAGAGGTGAGTTTCGATGTGACTCACCTTGGTCTTCGCCAATGTGGGAAAAAAAGTATATATATATATATATGTATGTATATTTATTTATTTATTTATTATAATCCTGTTTATTGTATTCAGGTAACCTTCCTTTTTTCTTTATTTCCTGAAGTAAACACTTTATTGTCTCTCTCTTTTTCTTTGACTACTTCCTGAAGTGAGTAAAGAATTTATGATCGCTCTCTTTTTCTTTTAACTACTTCCTGGAGAATGCGCGCCTTAAAAATTTGAACTAGCCAACCAGGTAAGGGAAAAGATTGTGCGGTCAAAACCCTAGCCAATGGGGTGAGACACAGCCTTGAGACTTGCGTCAGGGATTAAAAACCCAAGTGGACTGCCCACTCGGTGTGCTTGCTGGCCTGTACCTGTATGTACAGCTATGCACACGCACCCTCTTACAAGAGTAAATTTTGCTTTGCCAAGGTTGTTTAGTCTCACCGAATGTCTTTTATGCGACATCAGGATTCATTTCTAACACCAGGACCCCGGAATCTTGGAATATAGTCTCTGGAATTCCTTGAGTCCAGATATTCAAAGAATTCAGATGTCTAATTTAAAGAACTTTCTATGTTTGGCCATCCTGAATGCCAAGGAGCATTCTAACTTCCAACACAGATCTGATTGGTTTTCTGGCAGCCCATGGCTCTTCTAATATTCTCCTCCAACACTGTAACTCAAATGCATTGATTGTTGTATAGATTGTGTAAAGATGACAACCTTGGAAACCTATTGGGCAGTTCTGCTCTGCCGTGTGTTGCCACTATGAGTTGGGGGTGGGGGGAGACAAGAAAGCAGTGGCGAACCTGTTTGATCTCATGCCACACAGTAGACCTGTAGTGGATGACTCACACCCTCATGTCTAAATGAAGAGACAGCTGAGTCTGAGAGGCTTCCTGGTTCATTGGGATTCTCACCTTCTAACTTAGTGCTTTTTCTGTTAGTTTCTCTGGGCGCCTGTGACAAGGCCACATTCCTTAGTGCCGAGAAATCCATATAGCGCTTTCTGAGCAACTGAGAATGTCAGGTTTCAAATGGATCCGCTCTGTTATTTGTTTCTTCTTGAATTTGGGTGAATGCCCGAGCCCTGATCATGTGTTGTCTCTTCTGGACGCCTGTTCTGCAGAGCGGGAGCCCAGGTAGCACAGTGAATAAGCGCTCAGTTGCTAACTGAAAGGGTGGTTTGAACCCACCTGATGCCTGACAGGATTGAGATGTGGCAGTCTGCGTTCATAAACATGTCTCGTCTTGGAAACCCTATGGGATTGTGGGATTGTTCTCACTGTCCTATAGGGTCACTGTGAGTTGGAGCCACTCAATGGCAGTGGGTTTTGGGGTTGAGTTCTGCAGAGTCAGTCTATGACAGTTGCTTGTGAAACCTTGGAGCTCCTTGAGGGAATTGGAAATACTTCCCAGCTCATCAGGATGCAGGCTTTTTATCTAACTTGTATTTTACACAGAGACAAGAACTGCACAGCCATCTGGGAAGCCTTCAGTGTGGTGCTGGACAAGGATCCCTGTTCGGTGCTTCCCTCTGACTATGACCTTTTTATTAACCTCTCGAGGCACACCATTCCCAGAGACAAGGTAACTCCACTAGTGTCTTTGCATGGATGTCCAACTCTGTAGACATGCGAAGGTCCCTGGGTGGTGGAGACCGCTTGTGTTCCTCTACTAACTGTACTGTGGTGGTTTGTGAGTTGCTGTGATTCTGGAAGCTATGCCACGTGTATTTTAAATACCAACAGAGTCACCCATGATGGATAGGTTTCAGATGAGCTTCCAGATGAAGACAGACTAGGAGTAAGGAGTGATGAGCTACTTCCGAATATTTACTTACTGAAAACCTTATGAACAGCAGAGAAACACTGTCAGATATAGTGCTGGAAAATGAGCCCCTCAGGTAGGAAGGAAGGCACTCAAAATGCGACTGGGGAAAGAGCTGCCTCCTCAATGTAGCATTGACCATGATGATGCGAATGTAGTAAGGCCCATGGGAGTAAAGCCCACGGGACCTTCATTTACTGATGTGGCACAACTCAAAATGAAGAGAAACATCCATTAATAATAATTGGAACATGGAATGTACGAAGTATGAATTTAGGAAAACTGGAAATTGTCAAAAATGATGGATTAGCAAAGTGGCAGCATCCATGGGCTGAAGTGTGGCAACAATTGTGAGGTTGGCCCAGGACCGGGCAGTGTTTTGTTCTGCTGTGCATAGGGTCTCTATGAGTCCGTACCGACTCGATGACACCTAACAACAACTACTAACCTAAAGGTTGGGAGTTCCAACCCATCCTATGGCACCATGAAGACCTGAAGATGTGCTGTTATAAAGATTATGGTCAAGAAACCCTATGGTGTTAGTGAGAGTCAGAGCCAACTCGAGAGTAGCGGGTTTGGTGCATGGATCAGGTGTGAGGGTAGCTGACTCTGCAGATGCTACAGTGTTGCCCCAGCAGCAAGCAGCGAACTCACAATGCTCTGTGCTGGGCAGGCAGCTGTGTTGCCAACACTGAATCCTGGATCTCCCATCCCGGTTGTTATCACAAAAGTAATTTTCCCACATCAACAAGTCAGTGTAAAAATCACCCCTAGGACATGGCCACATGCTTTACTCGGGGCCTCTCCATCTGGTGATGGTGGTGGTGGTTGTGTGGTGTGAAGTCCGTCCCGACTCATAGAGTCATAGTGAGTCTATATAGGGTTTCCTCAGCTTTCCCTTGTGGAGCCGCTGGTAAATCTGACTGTTGACTTTATCAGTTAGAAGCCCAGCTCGGAACCCACTTCGACCATCAGGGCTCCTTGGCATCCCCCCCCTATCAACTGCTTCTAAATCAATGGCATCCAGGCTGGAACCACAATCCAGAAAACCCTCCACCTCTTTTTTTTTTTTTTTTTTTT